ATATTTGTTCCAGAATTCACTCACAAAAGAGGGTGGAAGTGATTTGATTGAGGTAGAACCCTATCAAACATCTTCCGCTTGTCTTTAAAGGTGTAGATAAAGCTTAACCATATTACACCGAGAGCGTAAGTATCTGTTCATGCTCTTCCTTGTCTTACCGTTCAGATTTGCTAGGCCCTCTTTAGTCCAGTCATCAATGCCTGAAACATGCCTCACCAACCCGGCTACCGAAGCATTTATTATTATTATTATTATTATTATTATTATTATTATTTTCTTTCTCCCTTCTTTTTTTCAAACCAGAGATCTTGCATTATGGGGATCTCCATAAATAGGTATTACATCAAACAGATAGAACCTGTCGTTGAATATTTGTAGTGCCAAGCAACGCGGACTTCTGAAGCGATTGGTTTGGTTTGTTTTACGGCATATCAATAAATCAATAAACCTTCAATGGGTTTATTTAATGCCGATATTTTTTTAATGCTGGTAATATTCTTTTCCCAAAAATGTATTGCTGGTAATATTTTTTTGCAAAAAAGTATATCTGGTATTAAAACATATTTTTAAACTTTCATAGTGTTTTGACCCCAGTTTTTTTGTGTGGGGGTGGTAACTATTTACCCATAGCTGGGAGCCTAACAGGTGCTACCACCCCGGGTTAGGATGGACCTGGGAACACCAGCAATTAAGAGGCGTTGCTGTTGGAGGTAGTTTATCGTCTTGCACAGGACGCGGATGTAGTTTATTGTCATACCCAGGACGCGGATGTAGTTTATAGTCTTACCTAGGACGCGGATGTTGTTTATCGTCTTATCCAGGACGCGAAAGTAGTTTATCGTCATACCCAGTTCGCGGATGTAGTTTATCGTCTCACCCGGGACGCGGATGCAGTTTATCGTCTTACCCAGGACGCGGATGTAGTTTATCGTCTTACCCAGAACGCGGGTGTAGTTTATAGTCTTACCTAGGACGCGGATGTTGTTTATCGTCTTATCCAGGACGCGAAAGTAGTTTATCGTCATACCCAGGACGCGGGTGTAGTTTATAGTCTTACCTAGGACGCGGATGTTGTTTATCGTCTTACCCGGGACGCGGATGTAGTTTATCGTCTTACCCAGAACCCGGGTGTAATTTATAGTCTTACCTAGGACGCGGATGTTGTTTATCGTCTTATCCAGGACGCGAAAGTAGTTTATCGTCATACCCAGGACGCGGATGTAGTTTATCGTCTTACCCGCGACGCGGATGTAGTTTATCGTCTTATCCAGGACGCGAAAGTAGTTTATCGTCATACCCAGGACGCGGATGTAGTTTATTGTCTTACCCGGGACGCGGATGTAGTTTATCGTCTTACCCAGAACGTTGAAGCGATTGGATAGTAGGCTGCATTCTGATTTTGTCAATGTAGGACATTTGAAGTTCGTTGGTGTAGAACCCAATAGCCTAACGATGACTGGGGCATTAGTTTTCTTGAAAGGTACCATATTCCTGCAATTTTAATCCTGAGGTCGGAGTATTTTTCAGTTTGTCAATTTCTTTCATCTTGACACCAGCAACAGCCACTTTAATATGAAGGCATTTTTTTATTTCTCACTTTTTTGTTATCGGCAGTGTCATCTGGCTTGGTGGTCTCAAGAAAGTATTCTCTTTGAATGTTGAAATCCCATAAGATCTTCTGTTTATGGTTTTCGGTCGTATTTCTATGGCTTATGGCAGTACCACTTCTCGTCGACTTTAAGCCCACGTTTCCTATATAGGCAGAAAGTGCAAATTGGGGTGGGCAACTTCATCATGGCTGCGCTAGTATTTTTTCTTTGCAAACATTTCAGGGGCTCTAGTGATGTAGAACCACACAGCGTGCACTTGTCCGAATCCTCTTCGTTCTTCCTGACAGAGTTAGTATTCAGGCCCTGATCTTATGCGGCTACCAGCAAACTTTCCGTCTCGCGTTTCAAGTCACATTTCATCGACTAATCCTCTGAATCCTTTCGCAAATTGGATAATATGGGTAACGAAAGACATGACTTACCTCGGAATTCGAAACGAGCGCAAACGTGTCTTGCCTGCAAAGTGATGACAAAAAAAGAAATATGGCCGCTATTGAAGACGCAATCTATGCGCGCCGATCTCGTCCAAAACGAGACGATATTTGCACTCATGCAAATTTTGGCCGTATTGGAACAGCATAAAAAGCGGGATGCCAACAGCACCAAAAAAAAAGAGAAGTCATTCAGTAGACTGCGTGTGTTAGAGTTGGACGTACGGATTGACAGACAGACAGACAAAGAGGAAGTTGAAGTAGGCACGGCTGAGTTGGTGTCTGTTTCACAACTGCCCAGTGTAACGGCTGAGAAAGGGAGCCACACAATCCATTTACTTGAGGAGATCGAAGAAGAAGAAGAAAAAAAAACAGTCGGCCTGGCCGCGAGCGTCGCACTGCACTTTTTGACAATCCCCCCCTCCGCCCTCATCATCATTTATTTGTTTTTTTACTACATTAAACGGCTGAGGTATAAATGTTTACCCATTAAACATAAAAAAAGATAGACAAAAGAGCGTTGCGCTTTGTCCTCAGAGAAAGATTCAATTTAGAGATGAAATGCCGATACTACACTCTGATCTAAAGAAGGGGGGCGTAAAGGTCGCACTTACAATTTAGATATATACATATCTATATCTATATATATATATATATATATGTATATATGTATATATCTCTCTCTATATATATATCTATATCTATATATATATATATATATATATATATATATATATATATATTCATATATATATACATATATATATCTATATCTATCTATCTATCTATATATATCGATATATATATATATATATATATATATATATATATATATATATATATATATATATATATATATATATATATATATAAGTGCAATAATATAAACAAAAGAAATCAGACTTCCCTATCTAAATATTTTTTTGGCATCTGAAGGAAATAAATAGGACACCTAAAGTTAAATGGAAAATTATTAACAAAGGCTAGAACATGTAAAACTTGGGATGACCCATGCCTTTATGTCTCCATGAGAAATTGCACATAATTAAACTTCTAAATAATAATAATCTATTAAACAATAGACACGAGTTAACGGTTTTTTGTAGGCATCATCAATTTTTTTGGTTTGAATTATGAGCTAAAACTAGCATACAATATAATAACTTGTTTAATCCATTTCATCAGATTCATGGTTTGAATAATTAACTAAAAACATGCATACAATATAACACCCTTCATAATCCATAGCCCAAATAAATAGTTTAAATACCTAAAAAAATAAAAAGATAACCCTTTATGAAGTCGTCAAAAACAAATGTTACGACAGTTTTTTATATGCACAAATCCCTTTCATAAAAAAAATAAAATAAAAACATAAATAAATCTCCATAGACATACAAACTAGACGAGGGTTAATACATCTTCCGTTTCAAATTTAGACACCCCACCTTACCCTTGACTTGACATCTACGAAAGTAACTCTATACTGATATTTATTATTAACACCCAACCCTCGCCTACCCAACTTAAAACAATTCGCCCTAGCTGTTACCATGGATTTTGATTTCAATTTTTAAACACATAAATTTCAGAAACACGTTATTCAAAAAAAAAAAATTTCGCTTGAGGATGGAACAGAGCTTATTTTAACTCAATTTAGTTTAAATAATTATATTGAAGTTTTCGGCTCTTGTTTTGAAACATGGGACTTCTTGTGTCGCGATTTGGAGTCATATTTTTAATAAATAATTATATATATATATATATATATATATATATATATATATATATATATATACTATATATTTGGATTATTTATTTATTTCCTTTATAGTTTTCACACCCCAAAACGAGAACCGAAACCATCAATCTTTTTTAAAACATGAGAACTCTTATGTATGAAGGAATCATATTTTTGAAAAAAATAATTATAATCTAAGCTCTACTTCTGTATGGAGCACTGTTATTTAAACATAAAAACAAAATTACTAAAGAACCCTGGATTATTTACCTAACGTGTTCTTTCCTTTTTTCGAAATACCTGCACACACACACACACACACACACACACACACACACATATATATATATATATATATATATATATATATATATATATATTGAAATGGACAAAGTCAGACAATTATTTTAAGACATTTTTATTTTTATACATTCTTTTTATAGATACAAATATTTAAGTAAATGCTCTGTTTATAATAAACAGTATTAAACAATATTTACCGGCCTGACTGTCCGAGACATTTTCACAGAAATATTCGTCTTCTGACAGGATTCGAACCTGTATCCTATACGGAACCGTCATTTAGCTTGACGTGCATTTACCGATTTGGACACGAAGGAGCGTTCGGTTAGCAAGGTCGAATTTACTGCTTTTAAACTTCAATCTTCCATGAATATCTCACGTACAATCATATCTGCTCATAGCGTATCAAATGTAAACAAATGACGTCACACATTATGAAATGGACAAAGTCCGACAATTATTTTAAGACATTTTTATGTTTATACATTCTTTTTATAGATACAAACATTTAAGTATGTTTATAACAAACAGTATGTCCGAGAAATTTTTATAGAAAATATGTATTCATATCGTAACTAGAAAAGAAAGACGCACATTTTTTACATAGGATAAAATGATTGGGCGATCACAATTAATAGTTTACAAATAAAATTTGAACATTTTGTTGAGAAACTTTCACAGAGAACATTGCCAAATAATGAAGTATTGATTAATAATTTTCACCGTTGCTAATTAAGAAATTGTCTTTGATAACTTTTACGTCATTGTAGTTAAAATGCGATGACCAGAGATTCAGGGGGAAACTCTAAGTTAATCAGAATCCTCTCACAAATCGCGTGTGTAATTTGTGGCTTCCTTGGCTGATTTGCCGCGCTTACCTTTGAAATTTAATGGTGAAAATTACGTCCCTTTAAT